CCCTTCTCCCCCATCTCCTCTATCGACTTCCTCCCCTCCCTCTCCTCCCTCTCTCTGTCTCTTCTGTTCCCTCCTCTCCCTTTCCTCTTCCTCCCCCTTTCTACTTCCTTCTTCCTCCTCTCGTTCCCCCTCCTCTTCTTCTCCCGTCCACTCCACTCTTCTTCCTGCCTCCCTCTGCTCCTCTCTCACCCTCCTTCACTTCCTTCCTTCGACCTGCACCCCATCTCCCTGTTTCCTTCCTTCCTCCCGATTCCCCTCCCCTCCTCTCCTTTCCGTGTCATTTCCTTCTCCTCTTCCCTCCTCTTTCCATTATCCTCCTCTCTATCCTTTCTCTCCCCCTGTTCCTCTCCGATCTCTATTCCTCCTCCCCTCCTTCCAATTCTCCTCGCCTCCTCCAGCCACCTTTCCTCCATCGTTCCTTCTTCCTCTTTCTATCTTCCCTCCTTTCCATAACCTCCCTTATCTCTCTCAATTCCAATATCTCTCTCAATTGCGATTCTCTTCATCTGTTCCACTATCTCCCTTTCGTACTCTCTCGCCCTCTCCCGCTCATCCTCTCTCCCTGCCTGTCTTCCCTCTGCCATCCTTCCGTCCTCTTCCATTCCCCTCTCCCTTTCCTCTCTGCTCCCTCGTCACCACTCTCCTCTGCCCAGCTCCTCCTCTCTCTCCCTGTCTCCTCCTCCTTCCGTTCTCTACGTCTCTTATCCCCCTGTTCCCCTCTCTCTCCTTTTCGCGCCTCCTCTTTCTCTCTATCTCCCCTCCCTTCTCCTCCTCTCTCGCCTTTCCTCCTCCTTTTCTCACTCTACTTTCGAACCGGCACTCTTCTAGCTGAGGTAATATTTTTCGTAATAAGTTCCTTTAATTAAAATTATAGCCAGTTGGGTCGAATAATATTTCCGTCAATAATTTAGATTGAATAATAATGAATGTAACGAAAATGATTGAAATCATTAATTGTGTTGGACAATTGATATGCTTAGATAAATGTCAAAAAGTAAATAACGAAGTGCGATAGTTTAATGTGCCCTCAAATTGTAAATTATAAAAAACATGATACTATACATAAACAATTACAGCACAAATTATTCAGAGGAGTCAAATGATATTAAAATAAGGAATATCCACAAAGTAAGTTCCGTTTTTTAATGTTACCCCGATAGCACTAATATCGTATTATTGCGCTTATGCGGTGAGTTTGTTGATTCGTTGGCAATGCAATGATGCTATTTGCAACCAGTCTTTCCGTGTGAAAGTTTCGTAGTATTTACAAAAAAAATCACATCATCTGCCGTATGTGAAATAACGATATGGTGCGTGCAGTTGAAGAGAGAGAAATCAGACGATTTACAATAACGGGGAGGGGGGTTATTGCATTGAATGCTGTTGGGGTTTGGCAGAGTAAAGCTCACAGGTTACACCTTACTTATACAGGGTGCGCCGTTAGAATCCGGACAAAAAAAGTTTTATGCAAAAAGTTGTTTATTTAAGCCAATATAGAAAGATACAAAAAAAATGCTGTTATATCTCATTTAAAGGATCCTTGCTGAGAACTTTTATTCTATATAGCCACCCTGCGCCTCTATCACCTGCTCGATCCTCGTCCTAAAGCGCGAGCATGCTGTCTTCAACTGGTCGCGATTCATGGCCGTGAACTCTGCCTCGATAGCGGCCCGGAGGGAGTTGACGTTGGGGTGCCTAGACTCGTTAGTTTGTCTCTCGGCTACGCCCCACACGTAGTAGTCCAGAGGGTTTAGGTCGGGACTGTTAGGAGGCCAGAAGTCCTTTGACCAAAACATGTCGATGTTGTCAGAGAGCCAATTTTGGACTAAATGGCTCGTGTGAGCGGGTGCACCGTCTTGCTGAAAGATATAAGGCCTTCTAGAGGCCACAGTCGTCATCCACGGCTTTACCACTGTCTTCAGGACCTCCAAATAAACCTCCTTCGTCATTGTTTCACCCTTCTGGAAGAAGTGCGGCGGCATGACATCGCCCTCACTTGAAACGACGCTCAGGAGTGGAAGAGTCCTTCTCGGACTCCTCTGAGACTGCGTATCTCTTCGCAACATCGTATACCGTCGATCTTGGGTACCCGAAGAATTTTATAATTTCGGCCGGCGTTCTCTCGGCGCGAAGGCTTTCTATAATCGCCGCTCTTCTATTGTACTCCACGCTTTGCTTGACGAGCTCGGCCATTTTGAGGTTATAAAAGTCTTACCTCTGGTCTTACTAACATATCTAGCCAACTTTAGCGCCAATTAACGCCTACCCCAGAATTCTAATGTAGCGGGAACTTCAAATTAAATTTTGTCCGGATTCTAACGGCGCACCCTGTACTTTATTAGAGCAAGAACTAAAAATGAACGGGGTGTCTTTACAAGTGAGACCACCGTGTCCGCGTGTAGTCGACCAGAGAGACTTGGGATGACTGACTGGACGCAACAGAACAAAAGACCGTAAAAACAAATGAAAACAGTGGGCGACACATAGGTAGCCTCGACCCGCGTGATACAAACGATATGAATAACACAGGGATACAATTCTAACACTCCCCTTATTACTGTGTATTATTCCTCGTGCAACTCAAGTGTAACATGGAAATGCAATTATCGTGTTTCGCTTTAGATAAGGATTTCGTTAAACCATCGGCTAACATTAAATCCGTTCTTAAGTATTTTATGTCAATATCTCCCTTATCGACAAGCTCTCTAACAAAATGAAAACTTATGTCTACATGTTTACTACGTTTGTGAAATACCGCGTTTTTAGAGAGTTCAATGGCACTTTGGTTATCACAATAGACTCTAATTGTATCTTTTACAAATTTTTCGGACCCCATGTGCGTTAACAGTCTTTTTATGTATACGATTTCCCTTGATATCTCCGCAAGTGCTCCGTATTCCGCCTCCATAGTAGAAAGTGCCATCGATCCTTGTTTCTTAGATTTCCAACAGATAGGACCATTTGCTAGGATGATTATGTTGCCGGTACAGGACTTCCTGTCGTCTACGTCTCCAGCCCAGTTCGAGTCCGAGTAGGCTGTAACGTCTTCCGAGTTTTTGACGTAATTGATGCCGTAATGTTTCGTCCCTTTCAGATATCTTAGGACGTGCTTTGCTAAAAACCAATGTGTTTGTCCTGGGTCAGTGCAGAAGCGACTAAGTGTGCTAGCTGCAAATGCGATATCCGGCCTCGTTGCATTTGCAAGGTAGTTGAGTCCGCCAATGAGTTCCCTGTATGGTCGATTTTTCATTTCTTTTCGTTCGGTTTCGGAATTTGGACCCATCTCCTTCGTAATCTTCATGGTCGGCTCCAAAGGTGTTGATGCTATCTTCGGGTCTTCCATGTTGAATCTTGCTAGCAATTCATCGACGTATTTTTCTTGTGAAAGAAACATGCTTCCCGTTTGATCTTCTCGGCTGACTTTTATTCCAAGAATGTCATGTATAGGACACATCCATCTAAGTCATCTAAGTCCACCATCTTGAATGCTGACTTCAATTTGAACTTTATTTGTTCTAATTCCTTTCTTCTTTTTGATGCCACGACGAAATCATCAACATATACAATCACGATAACTCGCTTATCGCTTTCGTCGAACAGGTATACACATGGATCGACTGCCGTGCGTCTGCCTCCATTGTTTGTGATGTATCCATCGAGTTTCATGTACCATTGTCTTCCCGACTGCTTTAGTCCGTATAATGGTTTCAAAAGTTTGCAGATTTTGGATTCTTCACCATGTTGAACATACATTTCGGGTTGCTCCATATAAACTTCATCGGTGAGATCTCCTTGTACGTAGGCTGACACAACGTCCATCTGATGGACGTGCATCTCTTCGTTTACTGCTGCTGCAAGCAAAGCCCGTATTGAGTCTAATCTTGCGACTGGCGCAAACGCTTCTTGATAATCTACGCCTTCTCGTTGCGTATGTCCTCTGACGACTAATCTTGCCTTAAATGTTTCAATTTCTCCTTTTTGATTAATTTTAGTTTGGAAAATCCATCGATTTGATAGAACCTTTTTTCCTTTCGGCCTTGGTACTAATATCCACGTTGCATTCTCTTGCAGGCTCTTGTATTCGCAATCCATCGCTGCTAGTCATGCCTCTTTGTCGTCTCGATCCAGTGCTTCCGAAATAGTTTGGGGTCTTAATTTATCGTGTTATTGGTTTGATAGATTTTTCTAGGCCTACCACGCTGACCTGTGCGTAGTAACTTCGGTGGTCCTCGGTGCGGTTCACTGATGTCGCCGGTTGCTTCTGGATCGTCCTCTTGATCATCGATCTCCGCTTCAGATTCTTCGGAATTGCAATCTTCGCTGGGTGAGTCGGGTAGCTGTAATCCTAAGACGTTTGAGTCTTCAACCTTATCTTCCAGTATATCGAATTTGACTTCATCCAGTGTATCACTTGAATTCCGCTTCTCGAAGAATTTCACATCCCGGGCTTTGACAACAGTCCTCGTTCCTGGCTTCCAAAGACGATACGCCTTTGACTCTTGCGAGTATCCAACTAAGATATACCTATTCGTCGCCTTTTGGTTGGAATTTTCCTCGTTTATGTGATTTGTCCAACATTATTGCTTTAAAGTCCAATGACTCTAAAGAATCCTACATATGGTTTTCTTAAACCACGCTTCGTAGGGTGTCTTTCCATTTAATATTTTTGTTGCACATCTGTTTCGCAGATACGTGGCTGAGTTTATAGCTTCGGCCCATAATGATTGCGGAAGATTACCTTGTAACATTATGCATCTTGCCATCTCGACAAGCGTTCGGTTCTTTCGTTCCGCGACTCCGTTTTGTTGGGACGTGTAGCGGTGAGATGCGTCCGCTTAGCGGCCCCGCTCGAGGCGGTGTCTAGCGAGGAGTAGGATGGCGATGCGCGGCGAGGAGTAGGGAGGCGAGGCGCGCCGCTGCCCGTCCGCCGCTTACGCGACCACTCGCACGTCTCCCCGCGCTGCATCAAAGTTCGCAGCGATGGTCGCTACCATGAAGTAAGAGTAAGGAGACGTATCTCCATAGATTGAAAGTGGTCATGAAAAATGTTCCGTATGTGGCCAGGTTCGCCAAATGGAATAACTTGGACCATTTCGTCGCCATCTTGAATATCGTATATATATATATATATATACAGCGATACGAGAGAGTGAGTTCCGTTTTCACGCATGATGCACATGATGCGTGAAATCGATACTTAAGATTAAACGTAGCTCGTGTGTACGAGATCTTGTTCTTTCTTTCGGTTCCTGTCGCGTCGGTGACCCCCTCTCGGTAAAGGACCGTCTGCATTGGAAGTAAGCAGTAAGAAGTAAGAAAATCATAACCTTTACTTATCATAACTTTACAGGCATAATTTTTAAAAATATTTATAGCACTGGTCCAGCTGCGCTCTAATTCACCGAGAGTACCCTAGTAGCACAGTGCATTGGATAAACATTGGCCCAATATTTGGTTGTATTGGGCCAATGTTTAACCAATGCCAATTCCTACCGATCCCATCGGCCACAGTGCAGCTGCGAATCCTCAGTCGACGCCCGTATCGAACGTAGAAACAAGCCCGAGGCCGGTAGCTTCCAACAAAGATGAGCGTACGACAAATGAATCTACGAAAGTGCCAGCCGCGGTCACTCCGCCACCAACCAAGCCACCTACTACGACCAAGCCAACCACAACCAAGCCAATTACAATGCCTGCGCCGCACACGACACCGCTTCCTCCACCGAACCTGGGTAAGTGGAATGTAACGCAGAACAACACGTTGTGCATACTCGTTCAAATGGCTGTGCAATTCAATGTTTCTTATACCACCGCTAATAACATGACGCGTTACAGGGTGATGGACCTGCCCGACAATAGCACTACAACTACGGGGGAATGTGGTAAAACCGAGCAGAACCTGACGTTGTCGTGGCCATCGCCGAACGAAAGCATTCAGAATAATTTCACCATTCATTTCGTAAAGAATGAGACGAAAAAGGATTACACTCTTCATCACTTTGAGATCTCTCTCGCGGCCGCAGAATTCCCCAACGCTAAAATAAATAGTACGCTGACTGTGGAACATGTGACGCCGCAATTTACAACTGGATTAACCAATTCGTACAGATGTATCAAGGAACAGCAGCTAGATTTGTCCGTCCAGAGGACCAACGTTACCGTGGGGCTTCTGAAAGTGACCAAATTACAATTTCAAGCGTTCCGAGGTGATAACTCAACTATCTTCGGCCTAGCCAAGGACTGTTCGTTCGAT